TTCACGCATCGGCAGATAAGCTTGCCGATGGACTTGAATTGGGTGTTTGAACCAAAGGCATCCGAAACCTCCTGGAGTTGGTTGCACAAAGAGTTGCTGTGGCATATTGAGGCACTTGAGCCATCGGCGAAACAAAGCGATGGTATAGGAGCTTTTCCTATCGCATCAAACACTTGAGGTAACCCAGATTGAAAGCATATGACTCGAGGCATACCATATCCCCACCAATTAGCAGTGAATCGCTATTCTCGAGACACAGTATTCGACATAGCCGATGCCGATAGATCTCAGTATTAAGTGAACTCGTCCTCCGGTAGTACCGGATCTGATCGTATCGGTGTAGATTGAATATTAGGTAAGCCTACCGATACTGGAGGAGAAGTAACTTCTCTACCCACAATGGCCGAGGGAGCCGATGGAGTATTGATAGATGCCGACTCTGGTTGGTGATAGGCAGGCCCAACATAATGCGGTGACGCTTGTCCTTCTTTGAGAGTTCGAACCACGAAGATTATGAACAGTGATTGGACAACACATTGGAATGATTAATCAAAGCATGATTTATCGCAGAATTAACCATCTCTTGAAGTTTACCATGATTGAGTCAAAGGTAACTCGCCGAGGCAACGGCAAATCTTGCTTCGGATGACTTGCCCACTCTTGTTCAAAGCTAAACGATCTCGTATAAAAGTCGCCTATATTCTTCTATAGCCTTTTCCATAGCCTGCCTCTGCTCTTCCTTAAGATCTTCTTCTGATACCGCGATAATGTTCCCTGAATCGATCTCGGGATTGATCACATTGATCGGATTGATGTGTCCCACCTGGCGTGCCAAAAGATGTGTTGATGCAAAAGAAAATCTGCAAACACAAAGGGCTAATACCCGAATCGATATCCAAAGCGTGCCAGTCGATTTGACCTGTTAATCGACAAGGATGAAGATACGAGCACTTTGGTCCTGACAACAGCGATACGCCCGGAAGTCACGGCCAAGAGGTACTCACGTGGAACTCGAGAATCGCCGAAGGTTGCACTGAAATGATGCAACTCGCCGAATCAATGAGAACTCGTAAAAAGGAAAAATATGCAAATTGACGAAGTCACCGAAAAGTAAGTAGATGCAAATAGGAGTAAAAATTGGTTTTTGATATTGATTCCTCCCTATTACATTGCCCCTCAATCTATATTTATACCCTGATCTAAAGAGACAAAACCAAATACGACTAGGACACCAAGTCCATATCTAAGGAAACACGTGACTCTTACATGAATCATACTCTAACAAATATAGAAAAGGAAATCAACTCCTATTTATTTCCCTGTCCGCCTCGATTACGATGGAATTCTCACCGACCTCCTTTCCATCGGCATACTTCCTGTTTCATCGGCAGTAGTTTTCAAGCCTTCCTTCATCGGCATCGACACTAATATCTCCAACCTTATCGGCAACACCCGAGTCTAAATCAACATTTCCATCGATCACCACCATTCATTGGCAACCATCTTTACAAGCTGATTTTCACGGCTGTCAGCGTATACAGTAACTCTCCTCCTGCCGATTAGCCCACTCTGATCATTTTGACACGTGCAAAAACCGGTGTCAATAGCGTCCACCTTGGGCTTCCATTCGTCGAACACCTTAGCGGCATCCTCCAAACGATTGAACCGGTCCGCGATGGAGTGCTCCACGGCCCCGATCCGCTTGCCCAGCAACGCATCCACCTCTCCGATTCGGCCGCCGAGAGACGACTCGAGGGAGGTCTTCACATATTTGAGCTCATCGAGAAGAACCTTGGTATTGGGATCCATGGCCCCGAGGTGCTTCCTGAACCTGGTGAAATGGTCGTGGATGATTTTGTGGGGTTCGAGGATGGAAATCGAGGCAGGGATTACAACCTCCGATCAAGGCAGATGGATGGAATTAATTCAGCCAAGGAAGGATAGGATCTGGATACCAATTTGTTAACAGCAAGGGGACAGGAACGGGAAGAACAGAGCATAGGCGAGGAGAACAGCAGAGGCAGGATGGAAGACGAATCTCAGGTTCAGAGTTTAGGTTTGTTTGATACAATAGTCATACCCATCCATGGGGCAGAGGCCAACACATATAGGATAGCAAAACACACACTTACTCCCTAACTGGGCTCACTTGTGACCCACTCCGGCCCAAATACTTTGGTACTCTTTGTCTTGGCCCTCTTCATTCTTCCTCCTGCCTCACCTGAAGTCGGCGCGCTACTGTTGCTCATCCGCGCCCGCCACAGTAGTCGAAATCCTCGACACTCCGATCCTCCCGAGGTAAACGGGCAAGCGGGTGGATTGATTGGTCCGACACCCAAAAAGTAGAATTTTGTCCGCGTCCTCCTGGAATTTTGATTGACAAGAGCGGGCGGGTGGCTAGTGGTATCCGGAGATTCCGGACTGGTGCGACGCATTCGCCGCATGCGGTGCAGGTCGCGGAGCTTCCCGTTCGCAATTTGTGATACCGGGTTTGCCTTTGCTCGGGACCGGGACGATGCTGGATTTTGGTGGGTGGTCTCGGTTTACAAGTTGAGACTAGACAAGCGTAACATGGTGCAAATTTCCGGTTTGAAGTGAAAACTATGTTGACCTCAAAGTTTTTTTTTTAAATTTCACTTTCAATCAAGCTAAAGGTTCGACGACCACAAGTTTGGACACCATGCCCGACCGCGGATACATCGACTGCAACTAGCAGCATAATTCTAATTCCTTTCCTTTTTTTTCACAAATTCCAATTCCTTTCTGAGAAATATAGGTTCCATCCTTTTCTTTCATACTCCGTAATTGAGAAGATGCGCCAGCTTTTCTTTGATTGCTGAACACTGACACAAGGTCGCAGCAACAGTGATGCCCACAAAAAAAAGGTCACAGCCACAGTGCACTAAAAAAGGGAAGTGCTAACTGCGGCCATTTCTTTTTCTTAACACCAAACAAGAGGCGTTCCTTTTCTAATCTAAAAAAGAAAAGAAAATATATTGAGTAGTAGTATTTTTTGAGGCCAAAACAGATGCCTGTAACAGAGACGGAAACGGATAACGGAAGCAAAAAGCAGTCGATGTTTGGTGAGGGCCGCACGGGGCTCATCTGCGTTTTTCTCCCCTGGCTCTGTTGTTGCTCATGTCGAATGAGGCAACTACCGTTTCATGACGCAACACGGAGCGTTGTGGTGCATTTCGCTGCACGTGCGATGCTTAGTTCCTGTCGATACGGGACCCACGGGATACCCCGCGAGGAAGAAAGAAGGTCTAGTCTAACTAGGTTTTCTTTTATGTAATCCTAGTAGTAGTAGTATTTCTGTAATCCTACCAGGAACTCTCATTGTAAACCGACTAAGACTCTAACCTCCTGACCATATAAAGGAGGGCAGGGTTCCTAGAGACGGGAAGAGACTTGAGAACACAACAACACCGAACAATCAATCCAACGCAAGGCTAACGCCGACTGAACGTAGGGCTATTACTCGATCACGGTCTAGGGCCCGAACATGGATAAATCGACTGTCTCTTGCGTTCACCTTTGAGTTCCGCATACGCTGAAGCCCGAACATACTGCCCGGGTAACCCCGTGGCAGGCTATCGGTGGTCAAACATCGACAGCTGCGCGCGCCAGGTAGGGGCTTTCGGCGAATTTGCATCCGAGAGCTCGACGGACCTCGACAACATGTTCTTCTCACCGGGATCAACCTTCATCTTCGGTTCGTGGATCTGCGAGGCAGGCGACGAGGGCAAGCTCCAAAGCCGTCTTCTCGAAGATTCGGTTCACCATGAAGACTTTTCCATTTCAGCGACTACGATAGATCAAATCACCAGAAGATTCGCGCAGCTCGTGACGTCCGATTCAACTCAGGTTTCACGGCTTTGCGCATCTGACTCAAACTTAGGCTCCGCATCCGAGATGGAGTCTGACCCGAGTTCTTTCGAAGATCCGAGTTCTTTTCCGACGGGGCTCCAGAACGCGGCCTCGGCATATCAAGAATACAACTCGGAGAACACTCAGAATCTTTTCAAGAAGTCAGATCCTTTTCCGTTCGGACTCCACAATATGGCAAAGTCTTATCAGGTACGGCTCAAAGGATCCCTCGATCCGGTGCTTAGAATGGCACTGAAAGGAATCTTTTCTTTGATTGCTGAACACTGACACAAGGTCGCAGCAACAGTGATGCCCACAAAAAAGGTCACAGCCACAGTGCACTAAAAAAGGGAAGTGCTAACTGCGGCCATTTCTTTTTCTTAACACCAAACAAGAGGCGTTCCTTTTCTAATCTAAAAAAGAAAAGAAAATATATTGAGTAGTAGTATTTTTTGAGGCCAAAACAGCTGCCTGTAACAGAGACGGAAACGGATAACGGAAGAAAAAGCAGTCCTGTGGTCGTACTACATACAGCAATAATAAATTACAAAAGTATCAGGCCCTTGTTTAGTTACCTAAAATCCAAATTTTGATATTATGCAAAAAGAAGATTCCCCGTCACATCAAATTTGCGGTACATGTATGGAGTACTAAATGTTGACGAAATCAAAAACTAATTGCACAGTTTGGTTGTACTTTGTGAGACGAACATTTTGAGTCTAATTAGTCAACGATTGACAATTATTATCAAATACAAACGAAATGCTACAGTGCGCTACAGTAAAAGCAAATTCCGGCGGCGCCAACTTCGCCAGCCAACTAAACGGGGCCCAGGTCACTCTCGAAGTCGCCCTGTTGCCTAGTTGACCTGGCGACCTTACCCAGATGCAACCCCCCTTGCTTTCTTCTCCAGCTGGGTGTGGACAAGCCCGCTGGTTCCCCTCCCGCGTTTTCTACTCTACTGTCTGATCTGCTCCAGCCTCCAGGCCTCTACCCAGCACCTATAAATATGCGCCTTCAAATCCGCCATTCCCACAGTAAAAACCACTCCAACACAATTCAAGCAGCACCAAAGGCAGCCACAACATCCTGCGCTCAAAGAAACTTGAACTTGAAGTGATCAGAACAAGATGTGCCAATTCAAAAGGGAGATGATCGCCGAGTCGTGCTCCGCGTGCAGCTCAGCCTCGGCTTCGACATCCTCGGAGCACAACCAGACGGTGTGGACGTCGCCGCCGAAGCGGCCGGCGGGGCGGACCAAGTTCCGGGAGACGCGGCACCCCGTGTTCCGCGGCGTCCGGCGCCGTCGCAACGCCGGGCGCTGGGTGTGGGACTGGTCCGACGCATTCGCCGCACGCGGTTTCGCATTCCCGGTTGTTTGCCTTGCCTGGGACCGGGGACGATGCTGGATTTTGGTGGGTGGTCTCGGTTTCGCGCATCGGTCGCCTGCTCATGTCGCCTTCAGGTGGGTGGGTCTCGGCCTCTCGGGAACGCGAGGCGTCCATTGGATTTTTTGAGTAGTGGCGTCAAGGCAGACCTCCTCCCTTGCCCAGTCATTGAATCACAGGAGTTTGCCCTTTTTGCCAATTTGTGTACCGAAATACTATATATCCCCTTCTAGTATACCACTATGCTTTTCTTAACTGCTAAAAGGATTTTTTCACATGATATAAAAGGCTTGAAAATATGAAGTTTAAAGTTCAGATTTCCAAGTTTGAAGTGAAAACTATGTTGACCTCAAAGTTTTTTTTTTAATTTCACTTTCAATCAAGCTAAAGGTTCGACGACAACAACTTTGGACACCATGCCCGACCGCCGATACATCGGCCGCAACTAGCAGCATAATTCTAATTCCTTTCCTTTTTTTTCACAAATTCCAATTCCTTTCTGAGAAATATAGGTTCCATCCTTTTCTTTCATACTCCGTAATTGAGAAGATGCGCCAGCTTTTCTTTGATTGCTGAACACTGACACAAGGTCGCAGCAACAGTGATGCCCACAAAAAAAAGGTCACAGCCACAGTGCACTAAAAAAGGGAAGTGCTAACTGCGGCCATTTCTTTTTCTTAACACAAAAAAAGAGGCGTTCCTTTTCTAATCTAAAAAAGAAAAGAAAATATATTGAGTAGTAGTATTTTTTCAGGCCAAAACAGCTGCCTGTAACAGAGACGGAAACGGATAACGGAAGCAAAAAAGCAGTCCTGTGGTCAGCAATAATAAATAACAAAAGTCTCAGGTCACTCTCGAAGTCGCCCTGTTGCCTACTTGACCTGGCGACCTTACCCAGATGCAACCCCCCTTGCTTTCTTCTCCAGCTGGGTGTGGACGAGCCCCACTGGTTCCCCTCCCGCGTTTCCTACTCTGCTGTCTGATCTGCTCCAGCCTCCAGGCCTCCACCCAGCACCTATAAATATGCGCCTTCAAATCCGCCATTCCCACAGCAAAAACCACTCCAACACAATTCAAGCAGCACCAAAGGCAACCACAACATCCTGCGCTCAAAGAAACTTGAACTTGAAGTGATCATGTGCCAATTCAAAAGGGAGATGATCGCCGAGTCGTGCTCCGCGTGCAGCTCAGCCTCGGCCTCGACATCATCGGAGCACCACCAGACGGTGTGGACGTCGCCGCCGAAGCGGCCGGCGGGGCGGACCAAGTTCCGGGATACGCGGCACCCCGTGTTCGGCGGCGTCCGGCGCCGTCGCAACGCCGGGCGCTGGGTGTGCGAGGTGCGCGTGCCCGGCCGGCGCGGCTGCAGGCTCTGGCTCGGCACCTTCGACACCGCGGAGGGTGCCGCGCGCGCGTACGACGCCGCCATGCTCACCATCGCCGGCGCGGGCGGGTGCCTCAACTTCGCCAACTCGGCGTGGCTGCTAGCCGTGCCGGCCTCCTACGCCAGCCTCGCCGAGATGCGCCACGCGGTCGCCGAGGCCGTGGAGGACTTCCTGCGCCGCGAGGCCGCCCCAGAGGACGACGCGCTCTCGGCGTCGACCTCGACGCCATCGTCCCCTGCCAGCGACGACGGCAGCGCCACGGACGGCGAGGAGTCCTCAGACTCCTCTCCGGCTGCCGGGGTCTCGGCGTTCCAACTGGACGTGTTCAACGACATGAGCTGGGACTTGTACTACGCGAGCTTGGCGCAGGGAATGCTCATGGAGCCGCCGCCCGCGGTCATGGAGTTCGGCGACGCCAACATCGTCGATGTGCCACTCTGGAGCTACTAGAACCGATGTCCTTTTTCTTCCACTTGGCCTCTGCGCCATTTCTTTTGCTGTAAAGGTTACTTCTTTTGGCAATGGGACGGAGCATGTTGAGAAACACACAGCCAAATTGAGCATGCCCACTCGATTTTCTAAGACTAGCAAAAAATATTCAAATTAAGTTAGTGGTTGTTCAACGCCTCACATACCATGCTATGCACTTGTTGAATTTCCACGCTTTGTTAACTCAAATCCACAAGATCTCTGAACCAACATCTGCCGGCCGGAGGGGGAGATGTGTTAAACTTCTTTGGATCATCTAGTAGTGGATCCAGTGGGTGAGTTCTTTTCTATTTGGGATAACTAGTGATTTAGAGATTCAGAGGGAGTAAGAGACAGAGAGAGAAAGGGAAATGTAGGAACATCTAACCGTCGGAGGGGTTGGAGGAGCTCCCTGCCTTCGGCTAGTTCGCCGGTGATGATCTGCGCTAGGCAGCGACGGTCGGAGAAGAGAGAGCGATGCAGTGAAGACCGTGGTGGCGCAGTGCAGTGGCGGCGGCGGTGCTTCCCGTCACTGGCTGCGCCCCTCTGTTAGATCGGAGTAGGGTTTCTTGGTGGGGCGTACGGCTCAGACGAACCTCGTACCGAGAGCCGCCGACCCCACCTCTATTTAATGCGCAGTGTGACGGGGGCCCGCCAGCCATAGATGGACTGGGCGCCCCCGATCAGGGCGCGAGGTCAAGGCCCAAGTGGCCGTTGGGCCACTGTGGTTGGGAGATCAAACCAACATTCTCCCCCTTGATCTCAACTCATACTTTAACTTTAAACTTTGACTTTAATCGTTTTCACTTTTATTTGTTCCATCACAGATTAGTGCATAGAGCATGCTTCATCGTCACGGTCAATTGCCGATAGACTTAACAGCTACAATACACATCTCTGTTCTGAAACAGATTCTTTAACTTTGGACCCTTTGTTGTTTGGAAATCATAGGCTATACCATAAACCCATGTCGACTGTGTGTTCTCCAAACACACTGGGTGGTAAGCCTTTTGTACGCGGATCCGCAAGCACTTGCTTGTTACTTATATGTTCAATACTTTTAGTATGATTCCGGACTTTCTCCTTCACAACGTACAACTTTAATGTCAATGTGTTTGGCAGCACACTTGACCCGTTGTTATAGGAGCGAACTACTTAAATGGTTATTGCTGTTACATACCATTATCAATTCCGGGTGTAAGTTCTTTTAACCACTTCGCCTGTCCTTAAGCCTCATAACAAGCTATACCATGGGTATGCATCTTTGATGACATCATAACTGTTTCTTTGGAGCTTTTCCACAATAAAACTCCAACTGCGAGTGTTAGCTACTATGTGGGTTTCACTAAACATCTCGCCAAAATATAACATTTGTACCCACAACTATTTGAGAGTACTTATTCTTTCTTACTTACCATGAGGCCTATAAATCTTTGCACAATTGCAAAACATTCTCTACTCCATTCCAGTGATCTATATCTGGACTGGACTTCTGCCAAAACATCCCGGATACATAAACTGTGTAAGGGTAAGTTCTTGCTTATAAGCATTCAGTAAGCTTCCAACAACTGAAGCATATAGGACGTCCATTTGATCGATCTCACATTTATTCTTGGAACACTGAAAGTTCCGAAAACTATTACCCTTGACTATGGGAACAGGCGCAGGTTTATTCACATATATACTTTATTTCTTTAGAATCTTCTCTAAGTATACACTTGAGATAGTTCTAATACCCCTTTTTCCTTTTATCTCGGTAAGTTCCAATTCCCGGAACGAATGATGCTTTACCAAGACCATTCTCATTGAAACTTGAGGACAAGAACTGCTTCTTCTCCAACAAGAGATTAACACCACTACTAGCGAGTAAGGTGCTACCCACATGCCAGGATTAGGAAAATAAATTTCCCATGTTTAAACTTTGCATAAATACAATTGTCCTCTACATTCTCTTTAAAACCCAAACTTTCTTATTGTACTGTCAAACTTCAAGAACCACTATCTTGAAGCTTACTTTAATCCATAAATGGATTTCTTTAGGCAACATCCCTTTACGTTCTTTTCCTTCCACGATAAAACCTTTTGAGTTATGCCATGTAAACTTTTCCATACAAATCCCGTTGAGGAATGTGTCTTTACATCCTTCCGATGTAATCAGAAATCATAATGTGCCACTAATACCATTATGATTCTAAAAGAATCCTTGCATGCTCATTATAATCTATTCCTTCTCTTTATGTAAAACATTTCACCACAAGTGGCGCTTTATAGCTTTCCATATTCTCTTTGGGTATCTTTCTATATTCCCTTTGGAGTCACCTTTGTCATGTAGACCCATTATAGCCTCTTGTGTTTTGGCTCCATGAGGAATCTCTTCTTAGTCACTAGAAATATCTGATTTTCTTATTCTTTGAGACCTTCTAGGGCCTCGTGGCACTTCTTTCATATGGGGCTATTGTTACTCTTCATTGCCAAAAGGCAATTGTTCTATAACCTCCTGTATCACAAGATCCTTGTTTACTTATTCATCTTTTTTAAGAGCTAACATCAGGTGTTGTATATGTCATACAACATCAACATGTATTAATCAATTTGTTGCTCTAAAAAACATTGTAGTGGATATGTAATCCCACTTCTATTCAAGCCTTAGGTATCTACATACCAAGCTCCCCCAGATTACTCCATCTTCTGAAAAGATGGTGTATCTTCAAATTTCTTATTTTGGGTTTAATCTACTAAAAAACTCATATGGCGCGTTTAGCACCGCCTTGATAACTCTGAACTCGTCCAGTATAAATACTAGCTAACTATGCTATCTTCCTATCGGAACTGTAAAAGGTCTAGGAATTTAGCTATTTCTTTACTTTAGGGGTATCTTTATTATGACCGTCTTACTCCCTTAACGACCACATTCATCTTTTATAGATCACTTTTACCTTCAATGCATAGTATGCATTGCATTATCTGAAGTATGGGGAAGTATCTTTCTTAATTGTCTTTCTCAATTAATCTTACATTTCTCCCCCTCGAAATGTGGTATGAACTTTTCTACCACAATTTCGAAAAACATTCAGAACTCTTGTTAATGAGGAAACTTTGATTACTTATTTCATCCACATGATTACATCATGCAAACAAAATTCGTATGGGAGTACATTTTCCTCATTACATTTCAAAACTCAACATAGTCTATTATTTTCAATACTTCTGCAAGTCACGCTTGCATATCATTTTTATCTTTTGGTTCACATGCAACTTTCTTTTGTTCTTAAACTCATTGAGTACTTAATGACCATGACACAATCAGAGTGTACGGTCAATACTAGGATAGCATAAAAACTACCTCAAACTTCTCTCCATGTGCGGGATATACTTAGAGCACATGAGTCATCACATCCTTCTTCCGCCATGCGGGATAAGTACTATGCCAAACTCTCCCGCCATGTAGGATTGGTTAACATATGTACTATGCCAACTTTACCCCGCCATGCGGGTACTATCATAAACTTTTTCCCGCCATGCGAGATATTCCTTTGAACGGACATAATTGCCAAGATTGGCTCATGTTCAATCATCAAATTCAGAAATAAATCCGAATATTCTTTTAACACACATGTTTAATCCAATGTTAGTCAAATTAAACATGTATATGACTTTTACAACTCTCATAAGTGAAACTGAAAATAAATTCTTCTCCACAGAGAGTACATAAAAGACATTTCTCAATGAAGACTCTCATTGATCTATCTCTTTTCTTGGATCAATATCCTAGAATTCTTTTCTTTTGAAGCTATTTTTAAAGAGAACACAGTCCCTTTACCAATGGCATTCTTTCATACATAACTTGCCCTTAGGCATTTCATCATCTGAGTCACAAGTACCCAGCTCATTTCTCTTTCTGCCTTCAAGAATGAAAGCATGGAGGTCTTTTGTCTGAAAAAATATATTCAACAATAATGCTCATTAAACTTTGATAACTTTATGTTCTATTCTATATCACCGTTGGGCCGAAATAGAATAAAACATCATTCTTCTACATTAATTCCACATCACCGTTGGGCAGAAATGGAATTAACGTATAGAAATTCAATAATCTTGAAAACATAGAACTGCTCCTAAAAATTAAATTCTCCCGTTGGTTCGAATTTAATTAGAAGACAATCATCTTCAATGCAGCGGAAAATACATTTCTCTAGTTTAAGAGCATTCCTTGATCTTTATCTTTTTTTTTTTGAAAAATTGGTCACTTTGATGCAAAATTCATCAGAGATTTAAACTTTAAACATAAAACTCATAGAATTATAATATTGTTATCATCAACGTTGGTCAGAAAATAACAATATCATAATTCAACTTTAACCTTAAACTCATAAATAAACTTATAATATTGTTATCATCAACGTTGGTCAGAAAATAACAATATTATAATTTATCTTAACTATCAACCGACTATTCCTCCAATTAAAATTTTCCAGCTGATTCTAATTTTAACTGGAGGATAAACTTTTCATCATTTACTGAATAACTATAACTACTCTTCAAATTAGAAGACAATAAACCTTCAACTTTGCAGCGGAAACTTGACAAAATTTCTTTTCCTACTTTTCAGAAGCATTTTTACTTTACTCATCTGTTCTCTAAACAAATTATCACGTTGGATCAAATTTGAGTAGAGATAAAACATTTAAACTTAACTTTATTCATTCAAAATAGCTTCTGAAAATAAATAAAACAATTCTTAATAACCATTGTGCATTCGGCCCAACCGGAGATACGGCCCGGGCTCATTCTTTTCTTTTCTCGGCCCAAGACAGCAGAGGCTGGCTCGGCCCAAAACGGCATCCAGCCCGGCCTTGCTCCCTCACAGCGTGCTTTCGCCACCCAGGGCCGCAACGTGGGCTGGCTCGGCAAAGCACCATGACATGTATACTTTTGGGCCACGAAGCAGCCCGCTAGATCTCGGCCGTCCGTGCGCGCATCCG